CGAATTTTTGCCCTCACCATCAGACGTAGTAGAAAATATAATTTGTAATGTTACATGAATATTTCAATATGGGTATCTTCGTTCTTGTAAAATATATGATGTTGTTGTCCGCGAATTTTGCGAGTCCACTGCTAACGTTCAATTATTTGGAATTAAAGGTAATGCCAAGCACTTAAATGATCGGAGTTTTTGAATTCAACACCGTCTTTCTGGCCATGTCCAACATTCACGTCGAACAGCCGTCTTGAGCCTTCTTTTTACCTTTCATTTCCAGACAATTACACGTATTGTCTTGGAAATCATCCTCAATCGAGCAGAATGCCTCCTCACTCCCGAGAACCGGCCAAATGCCAAATTTGCAACACAAATGAATCCAAGTACACTTGTTCGCAGTGTTATGTCTTTTAGTACGTAAAAAACACAATTACATCGAACCCTTATACTTAATTGCTAGTCAGCTGCTCCGTGACCTGTTTTAAAAAACACAAAGGTATTTTTTATTACCTAAACATCACGATGTTTGCTGACAAGCATCTGTAGCTGATTCATGTACCTTGAAGACAAGTGCTGAGCGGAACAACAATGCAACCAATGCCCAGCCAGTAGCAGCGCAACCTGAATCTACCACGGAATCCAGTGCGATTAAGTCAGGTGATCCTGACGACGAGCCTCCGCTAGAGGAGCCAAAGCAACTGCGCCCATTGACATCGTTGAACTGGCCTTACGTTCCCGAAGAGTCCGCTTATCCAGATCCTCTTAAGCGCGATGATCCAAAGACTTTACAGCTACATCAATACGAAGCCATTGGTTTGTTTTGCTGCTCAATATCGATCCTCTTAAACGTTAACTAACTTATGATAGCCACCTCTCCTGATATCCGAGAAGTTCTTGCCGGCCACAAAAACCTTCCTGCACTTCTCACTAGCATCGACAAGCTACGGGGCCCTGACCGCGAACACACGCTCCAGCGTGCGTTAGGTCTGACCGCTCCTGAGATTGACGATCAATTGAAATCCGTGGAGCTGAGCGATGATGTTATCGCTCTGCGAAAGCTAGCGGAGGCTGTAGAAGCCGCAGTCAGAGGCGGGAATCAAACTATGCTCGGTCTCGATTGGGGAGAATAGTTTATATTTAAGAAGATCTATCTGTAAGCCCTGTATTCCTTTAAAATTCTGGGGTTTGAATGAAGTTAAAATCTGCATGTGGGCTTCGACTAACCAACCGTAGTCCTCCCTAAAATATTCGCTACTCGATTGGATTTCTGAATTTTCAGTACAGAAATTTTCGCCATTTTTGATTCAAGAGCCTTTGGACGTTTATTTTTCGCTCTCCCGAACGCATGATATATGGTCATATAGAAATGGGTCAGATTTAGCAATATGAGGGCATATTTTTTCGTGTTATCCCATGGGGTAGATTGGGTTTGGAGAGCACCCCCTTCAATGCCTTTCGCTCTAGATAAAAATTTACTAAAGCGATGTGACTCAAAGATTCCTTTCTAGCGGATATTTGAATGCCAAAAACTTCAGTAAAGGCAACATTAGACAAGCGAACAGATTTGTACGACTTCCCTCTTCTAGGGGTACGACATCTTCGCCAGAGTAATAAAGAGCCCCTCGAGATTAGGATATAAAACAGTCAGGCCCGAAGTTAGTTTTGTATAGTGGGGATAGATATTCAACTTGCATGTATGGAGACCGGGCATAAATACAGGATTTAACGGAAAAAACTCGCTGAATTCTCCCTTTTGCACAATATACATGACTTCTAGCTGATAAAAGGGCGCATCGATAGAGGAAAACAATTTGTGCGGACGCTGAGGATATGAAATTTGGGTACAAATTCGAATGCATTCAGAGCTAGATTGTGAGCTGAGCTGATGCTGCAATGAGGATCTACATTGATGCCACAATGGTGTAGTAGCTGAGGCCCTAATTTCAAAAACTCAGTGTTGGAGTAAGGAAAGATTGCACTATTCCCAAGAATACGTCACACTCGACTCCTTACCACAGCTGTGAAGAATCAGGGATTGGATTGGGAAAATGAGCGGGTCCAAGAAAGAAGTTATACATAAGAAGGATGACAATGGTATTCGCCGCGAGTGAGATGTTAGTCAAAGTCGTATAAGTCCGAGGTTGCATAATTACGAGCTGACCGCGCGTTTGGCTCACAGAACCAACATTCACCTCTCCAGGGAGGGCAAGTGTTAACGGATAGCCATGAAGACACAGTCACATAATAATGTAGACACAAGCGCAGGGATATAAAGTTCGTACTGATTCTCATAGGCTACGTTCCACCAGTCAATAAATGGAATAATTTTTTTTAGAAAAAAAGGTCGTACAAGGGGAAGTTTTGCCATCAGTTCTGATTGAAATATGACAATTATAGACCATATCCTGGGAGTCTGGAGGGCAATAGTCCTTTAGAGGCCGCAGATATAGCTGAAGGAAGAAGTCCTCGTTGCGGGATCCATTCGTCTATTGGACAGGAGGCTTCAATGATGATGTGGGCAAACTTAGGCATCAGAAGAAGATAAATTCTGCCCAAGGTTCCGGCGAAAGATGGCGAGCAGCCATCGGAAGAGTGAGAGACTAGTGCGCCTTGGCAAGCCGGAAAAACTCCTGAGACTTGTGGTTTCATTCGTTGCTTTTCCGCCTGGTTCTCCAATAATGCAAGATCCTCATCTATAAAATTAATACCTCCCTCTGCATTTGAAATTGCACATCGAACAGTAAGAAGGTCGGTGGAAGTTGGAGTCCAATTCGAACGGACAATATGCGATATGGGCAAAGGAATTTCGTGGAGCATCTCTTCATCGGATAAGAGTCCGCAGTAATCACAAAGGTAAATTCTTTATTTTGCGACATGAACGCGTCCACTATGTTTCGGTCCCGGGGAGTTGACCAAAGAGTAGGCCCCGGTGAAATTAAGATGGAGATGATGAAATTCTCGAGAGGTTGGTAATAAAACGAGAGCTATCGTAAACTGAAAGCTTTCAATTTCTTCGTATTAAAATCTCATCCAGCTTTGGTAATGGCCGTTGCGATTGAACGAGTAGTTGAGAAGAAATTGGGGACTTAGTAAAGGTCCAAGTTAAAGAACTTTTGAACTCGCCGCGCTGTATGCCTCTATTTGCGTATGCTCTCTTGGACTGCTTTCCCGAGCCAGAGCCTTGGACTTCTTTCTCATTTCTTCTCTTGAATATTAACCTCCAGGCTCTACAATATATTTCGCCATTATCATGGACAACATCGACTGCTCGCCGGCAAATTTTGAGCCCGAGAAGACACTTATTCACCCCCTCTAGGGCGTTCGTCGGTCTTTATAACTGAGCTTTGTAATGACCTGAGCCCGGTTAGTGTTCCTCCCGAATGGATGATTGATGTTTCTGTTTCTGGACATGGGGAGGTGCGATGAGTGGGTGCTGAGGGGGTATTTATATCGGATGTTTGAACGATATGGGACATACAGACAGACAGACAATTCTGGAGTACATCCACTAACCACCGAACTCCCCTTGACTCGCAGATTACGCATCCCAGTCTTCGACTTTAATTTGAACTCTTATTATGTCAGAACTCATCTTCGTAACAGGAGCTACTGGTTTTCTAGGCTCTCACATCGTTGAACAACTCTTGAAAGAAGGATATCGTGTCCGAGCGTATGTTCCATTGCCTTCCTTCCTATTCCCCATTCGACTCTTAACACATCTGAACATCCAGGACCGCCCGAGGACAAAAAGCCCAAACCCTTAAATCAATCTATGCCGATATAGCTTCTCAGCTTCAAGTAGTCGAGATTTCTGATATTGCCCATGATCAGTTTCCTGAGGCGTTAAAGGGCGTGGATGCTGTGATTCATGTGGCTTCCCCGTTGGCTGGACGCCAGAACGTCGATGCGATGTTTAATGTGAGTCTTCTAATTCGCTGAAATCGATTATTTCGAGTGGCTAATGAGAGATTGCATGGTTTAGAGCGCGATCGAAGGATCTCTAAATGTTCTACGACAGGCTGAGAAAGCTGGTGTCAAGAGATTCGTGGTCACCAGTTCGACGGCAACTGTTGTAGACAAGAGCAACTCGACGCGAGGTGCTTATAACGATCAAGGTATGTATTCTTTCTCTTCATACAAGATGCTGGTTCAGAAGATAGGGTGTAGATTGGAATCACCTCACTAAGGAAGCCGCGATAGAGTCTGGTCAATCTGGTACTATATACTCTGCTACGAAGAAGTACGCGGAAATAGCTGTTTGGGAATGGGCTGAGGCTCATCCTCACGTTGATGTTACGACTAGTAAGCATACACTCTTGTTTTATATGGAATCTCGAACGCTGATGGCCTATCTTTAGTCAATCCACCATATCTGTATGGTCCTCCCGCCGAACGCTTCCCCCTCCCAGAGCCTGACTTCAACGCCATCTCCACCAACCTCTTGATCTACCAATTTATCAACCCAACTGGTGTATACCCTCCCCACCCTAGTTATGCTGACTTCCGCGATGTCGCGAAAGCACACGTCGGCGCTCTTCGCTCCCCACCCACCGCTGAGGTCGGGCGCAAACGTATCATCTTCGCGTCTCCACATGGGTTCGTATTCAAGGACGCTGTGAAACTGATCGCCGAGAAGAGACCTCAGCTGAAGGAGAGATTAATTTCAAGAGAGTCACTCGAATATCCTTTTGATCGGTATGAGGTCGATTTTGAGAGGATTAAGGAGGTAACGGGGTTGCAGAAGAGCGAGTTCTTTACATTTGAGGAGGTGAGAGAGTCTTTCCTTATGTTGATTCGCTGGCTAATGGCCTTGGTTTTTTGAAGACCTTCTTGGATACTATTGATAGCCTTGTGAAGGCAGAGAATGAATGGAAATCGAAGGGCTTCACAGTGGACATAATCCCGTCTACGTTCGATTAGATGCAATCCCCACGGAACTTCATTTAGTGTAACTAATTTTAATGTCTAATTATGATTCTAACCAATATGAACGGTTAAGCTTCGTCACACCGATGGTGAAAACGGTTGTGATGCTTGCCTTCTATGACACTCGAAAAATTGTGGTGAGCAAGCGTCAGGGGATTGACTCTCTTTCGGTGTGAAAAGCAAGAAGTCATCTGCATGATAGAACTTTTTGCCTACCCATTGTAAACTAGAATGTTTAACATACAACTTTTGAGATGTTCCAAGCTCTGCACTGTATGCTATTATAGCAGACTCAAACTTGCAGGAAGTATATCTCCCAGTTAACGTACCCCATTTGACCGGGGACCCGCCGGTCCCGGAACGGTATTTTCAAAACGTGACGGTTGTCGCGTCACGCCTCAATAATGTCCTTCCTCCAAGTCCTCCGACGTTCCCCAGCAACCTGGAGGCACACATGCCTCAGATATTCCAGCACTAGCGCTCCAGCAGCAGACGGTGCAACAGCATCAGGATCCTCCAAAAAGCCAGCAGCTCCAGCGGCGGGTACGTCTGAATCTACCACTCACCACCACAGCTCCCACTTACTCTACTTTTTCTTCCTTTGTTCTCAGCGGCTACACCACTATCATCATGCCCAGCTGACACTGTCTTACCAGGCGTAAACTACCTCAAAGGTCAAGGGCCTGTGCTCGCCAAACCAGACGAGGAATACCCCGAATGGCTGTGGACTATTCTCAAACCGAAGGTGTATACCGACGATGGACCTGGTGGGAAGGCGGAACGAGCACAGAGAAGACTGGAGAATAGGCAGAAGATAAAAGATAGGAATTTCATGCTGACACAGTAATTGTAGCTGTGGTTGGTTGAGTTGGGGGATGGAGGATGTCGGTTCGTGCGTGTCTTTATTTTGTCTCGTTCTATGTAACTAACTATTGACTGTAGGTTATCCATGTATATTATACCTACTACATGGAAGATGCCTCTAATTTACGATTTATTTCACGTTCAGAGTGATCCAAGCGCGTATTTGGAAGTCGAAACGCGTCTGATTGTCACACGGACGCGATGAGGTTTCAATGAAAAATTCCAGAACCTTTCACTACCACCTATTCAAACGTTCGTGGCTTATTTACCCTAGAACTTCCTATATCTATGCGGTATGAGCAATCCTCCGGTCGAGATACAGCGCCCATGCGTATGTTTATGTTCGATATGTATTCAGTTTTTGCGAGCGTTGAAAGGCGATTGAATACTATTGATTCAACATCTCACTCCGCTCTCTTTTCAAGTTTCACCACCTTGATGTGAGAGTATGGCGGCTATTTTTCCATTCATTCCAACATTCCAGGAGTGAACGACGAAACTACTATGCGAGTAAGCTCGAGCCAGTCTCCTTGGAAATGTAATCGTAAGGGTTATCTTACAGTAGAGGGACGAAAAGAAAAAATGGGAGTGAGAGGGTTATGCGCAATTACGTCGTGCAACACCATAACAGCCAGAGTAGTAATGACTACTAAGTGGAATCCCTCAATGCAACAATATGGTATCAAATGTTCTACTAGAGATATATGCTATTTATTATTAACTCAACATGCTTAATTGAAGATTTCCATCCAATGATTGTCTTCACCGATTTTCAACTACTTACAACCGATTTCACCGCCACCTTGAACATCAGCACCAATTTTGGAGTACCACCAACATCCAAGTTCAACCTTTCAACCTCAAGAGTCAAGCCCTTCCACCCTCATGCTCCGCAAAACACTGTAATCCCTGCTTCAGTGACTGAATCGCCGTCTTATGCTGGCTCACTGCCAACACGATAAAACAATGCCATATCGAGTGGGATCCTCCACCAATACAGTCCAACTTCCGGCGGATGTTCTCTGGCAACGCACGTTCGGGGAAATGAGCGGCGTAGAAAGCGAGCCCGATGAGGTAAGAGATTAGGGATGGGATTACGGGTGCTGTGGGGTTGGGATTAGTGATATTATAGAAAAGAGAGAGATAGAAGGGAGGAAGACGTACACATGAACTGATACATCTCGCCCTTGGAATGCATCATCGACAGAGAAACCAAGGGCCCGATGGCGGAGAATGCGAGGGATAGGAAGAAACCTATGCGGTAGAACTGCGAATCGAGAATTGGATTGAGTGTTCATGACCATACTGAGATAGTAGATGAAAAAAACGCACCCTGTACTCATGCATGTTAAACCACTTCATAAATGGGAAGATATTCCCCGCCAGCCCTGTCACGAAGCATAGACAGAGGTAGGCGTGCCCGATATGTGGGTGGCAGCGGAAGCCATAGTGCACGATCGTGCCGACACTTGCACTAATAAGCCTACAACACCGTGTTCTCTTCAATATCGCAGCCAACCTAGGGAAAAGAGAGGAAGAGTAACGCACCATCCAATCCCCACATAATCCACCCTCGCACAAAACTCCATACTAGCGTGATGTGCGCACCCAGACATCGTATGCCATACTGCGCTGCTGAACAGACACAGGAGGGCGAAGCACATGAAGAGCAGCTCGGGGAGGTCGAAATCATGCGCGCTGTTGATGAGCGGGATGAGGTTGAGACCCCAGAGGAGGCAGGGAATTAGGTGTGTATGGATGTTTACTGTTTAAGAGGAGGGTTAATGGGCAGAAGAGGGGGGAAAGAGAGAGATTTACAAGTCTCGTTGTGGAATTTGAAGAGCGACATGACGAGGAGTGGCCATCGTTCTATGGGTATGAATCTATCGGGTATGTTAGGATTAAGAATAGATCACAGGAAGGCTCGACGTACCGATACCCATGCGTAACGAACGGATTATTCTTCCATGGATGCGGGAGGTCATGGTACTTAATCAACTGATACCCCTCCAGCGAACGCTTGACAGCAATTGCTACCTCCGCCACCTCCTGCGCCGCCATCTCCAACAATCCCTCCGCCTCCTCCACCATATCCGGTGCGCTGTTCGTGATATCCGCGACCAAATCCGAAGTGAGTAGCGCATCCATGAACTCGGATAGCATGCTGCTTTGAGGGAAAGTGGGTAAGTCGAGTCCAGTGGGGAGCTCGAGCGCGGAGAGGTGTGAATGGAGGTTGTTGAGGTGAGTGGAAAGGGTAGGGAGGAAGTTGAGTGGCCTTTCAAAGTCGAGGTCGTGGAAGCGCGTGCGGACGTCGTCGAGCTTGAGGCGCATGTCGGAGATCATGTCTTCCATGTCCGGGAGCTGGGGCATATCCGGGAGATGTGAACGGACGTCGTTCATGTCAGGGAGGTAGGGCATGTCTGGGAAGTGTGAACGCATATCTGCCATGTCGGGGAGGTGCGGCATTTCTGGTAGACGCGCGCACATCTCGTTGAACCCCGGAAGGTCAGGAAAGTCTGGGAGCTGGGACTTGATGAATGTCTCTACTGACGTGAGGTCTGCGAACTGAACATCGGGGAGGTGGGAGCAGACGTCCGCGCGGATGCCCTCGAGCATTTCGAGGGCTGTGACAGCCCATTCAGCGGCATCGTCGATAGTGAGTTCGCTCTTTTTTGTGAGCCATGCCTCGAGGTGAACGTTGGGTGATTGTACTTGCGAAAGGCGTCGCTCGATGTCGGCGAGGTAGGAGAGGATGATGAAGCGGATGGAGGCAAGAGTTTGAGTGGGTGATGCAGATGAAAGGTCGAGTGCCTCGAGGGAGTGCGGAAGCGTCCTGCATAGCTGCAGTGCTGGACGCTTTGAACACGTCAAAGCAAGACGGGGTCTTGGTTTGCGTAGACGGATCTCTGATTTACTCCTAGGGCGGAGGGTGGTTGACCTGGCAGTAGGGGTGGTGAGTGTGAGGGACATGTGTCTAATGATCTAGGTGGATATATCTAGCGTTGATGATAATAAATCGTTGGATATCTAGAGAGAACAAATGAACGACGAGGTGGGTTCGCACTGCGGGGAATCCTGATTCCAAGAGAATCAAAGTAAGGAGGCGTGTCAGATAAATAGCATAGAGACGGGCGTCTATAGCTGTGGGCGGTGAGGGCGTTGAGTTGTTAAAATCAGTTGCGGTGATGGCATCCATTATCGCTTGGGGAAGCTGACTAAGTTTGTGATCCGGACCCCTTAGCGCTGCTGACAAACCACACAGCCAGACGTCCCGCGCCTCGCGCGTCTCCGTCTCGGTGCAGAGTCATCCTGACTATTCACTCAGTATAAGACGCACATAAGATGCTTATTCTCCTCCAATAACCACCTGCAACAAATCAAGAAATAATGACTGTCGGAATCCCGCAAATCCTCGTCGTGGGGCTGGGGAATCTCCCGTTTCCACTCACCCGTCATAGGTAGGCCTCGAGCTTTGATCCTAAGAAAATCACGTTCATTCAACGCGTCCAAATTCCTTTGCTTTCCCCAGCGTCGGCCAGCTTCTTGTTGACTCGCTCGCGTTTCGTTTGGGGATCTCGCTATCCAATCAACGTGGAGGATACTTGGGCCAGAAGGATGTCACCATCGGGGACACACTCGTCTCACTCACGCTGTTCAAGTCCAGTACGCATCCATCCTCTTCCTCTATTCACTTTGGCACTCGCTTACCCTGCTCTAGAATCCCTGATGAACATCTCCGGCCCCTCCATCGCCACCATCTACCGCAAAACCTGTTCCTCCCCCTCCTCCCTCGTCGTCCTCGCCGACTCTCTCTCGCACAAAATCGAGACGCTCTCCCCCCGACTCGGCGGCTCCGCACAGGGGCACAATGGCGTGAAGAGCATCATCTCTGCACTTGGCGGCGAGATGGGTTTCTATCGATTTCGAGTTGGCATTGGCCGCGACGAGACAGATGCGGCAACCTATGTGATGCGCAAGCTGTCATCCCATGAGAAACGGTTCTGGGGGGAGGATGGTGTGGATTTGGTGTTGAATGAGTTGGAGAAGGTCGCGAGGAAGAGTGGCTAATGGTGCGTTCTTCACCGGTCTATATTCAAGCGTGCAACGCTGATCGAGGTATTCCAGAGCCAATCCTGCAGCAGCAAAGCTAGCTATATTCTATTCGAAGCGTCGTAGTTACCACAAGAGCTTCCGGATAGCTCTGACAGGAACCTCTCCCACGGCAATACCTCTACGGAAACCTATGGACCTCCCTCCCCTTCCTTCTACCAAGTTCGGACCGCTGCACCCGCGCGAGAAGAATGACGTCCG